GCACCAGGGAGTCGGACCAGGGCCAGGTCGATCCCGACGATTCTGGTGCTGGGGGCTGGCGGGGCAGCAGGTCTCTCCCAGAGTCCTCTCATGGTGCCACTTCTACCACTGCCACCAGGGCGCTGCGCACCGATGAGCTTGGTGCTGGCTGCGGTCTAAGCGCTGCCTCCATAAGGAGCTGCTTGAGGTGAAAGTCTCGCCCCTTTTTTGTTCTGGGGCAGAACCCTTTACAAATCCTGCACTTGGCCGCTTGGCGTGCTTCCCCCAAGTGCCATGGGGTTCACCCGTTGGCATGGGCTCGTTGCAGGACTTGCAGGCATGGACTTAGGCATGTAAGTCCCCCAAGGAGAACGCAGTCGGGGTGGAAAGTAAACGCCCCCGTCCAACATTGTCGGGCTCAACAGGTAGTGATCAATGGCTCCATATCTAGTTGGCAGCCGGTATCAAGTGGAGTACCCCAAGGGTCGGTCCTGGGGCCGGTTTTGTTCAATATCTTCATAAATGATCTGGAGGATGGTGTGGATTGCACTCTCAGCAAATTTGCGGATGATACTAAACTGGGAGGAGTGGTAGATACGCTGGAGGGGAGGGATAGGATACAGAAAGACCTGGACAAATTGGAGGATTGGGCCAAAAGAAATCTGATGAGGTTCAATAAGGATAAGTGCAGGGTCCTGCACTTAGGACGGAAGAACCCAATGCACAGCTACAGACTAGGGACCGAATGGCTAGGCAGCAGTTCTGCGGAAAAGGACCTAGGGGTGACAGGGGACGAGAAGCTGGATATGAGTCAGCAGTGTGCCCTTGTTGCCAAGAAGGCCAATGGCATTTTGGGATGTATAAGTAGGGGCATAGCGAGCAGATCGAGGGACGTGATCGTTCCCCTCTATTCGACATTGGTGAGGCCTCATCTGGAGTACTGTGTCCAGTTTTGGGCCCCACACTTCAAGAAGGATGTGGATAAATTGGAGAGAGTCCAGCGAAGGGCAACAAAAATGATTAGGGGACTGGAACACATGAGTTATGAGGAGAGGCTGAGGGAGCTGGGATTGTTTAGCCTGCAGAAGAGAAGAATGAGGGGGGATTTGATAGCTGCTTTCAACTACCTGAAAGGGGGTTCCAAAGAGGATGGCTCTAGACTGTTCTCAATGGTAGCAGATGACAGAACGAGGAGTAATGGTCTCAAGTTGCAGTGGGGGAGGTTTAGATTGGATATTAGGAAAAACTTTTTCACTAAGAGGGTGGTGAAACACTGGAATGCGTTACCTAGGGAGGTGGTAGAATCTCCTTCCTTAGAGGTTTTTAAGGTCAGGCTTGACAAAGCCCTGGCTGGGATGATTTAACTGGGAATTGGTCCTGCTTTGAGCAGGGGGTTGGACTAGATGACCTTCTGGGGTCCCTTCCAACCCTGATATTCTATGATTCTATGAACAGGTAACTAACTACTGACTAGAATTACAATAACTAAGAACTAAACAACTACAAAATACAAAGAGCCCGAATAGAAGCTACGGTAACATGGAGAGCTTGCAAAGCAAGATGCCACAGTTCCCACGGCCATCACGGGCGGTAAGAAGGAACTGAGGAGGCGACAGGTCGGCTGGGGTATATATCCAGCACCATGAAGGCGCCACTCCAGGGGGCTCCACAGCCAACCTGATAGGTGCTGCTAGGTAACGCATTCCAGTATTTCACCACCCTCTTAGTGAAAAAGTTTTTCCTAATATCCAATGTAAACCTCCCCCACTGCAACTTGAGACCATTACTCCTTGTTCTGTCATCTGCTACCATTGAGAACAGTCTAGAGCCATCCTCTTTGGAACCCCCTTTCAGGTAGTTGAAAGCAGCTATCAAATCCCCCCTCATTCTTCTCTTCTGCAGGCTAAACAATCCCAGCTCCCTCAGCCTCTCCTCATAAGTCATGTGTTCCAGTCCCCTAATCATTTTTGTTGCCCTCCGCTGGACTCTTTCCAATTTTTCCACATCCTTCTTGTAGTGTGGGGCCCAAAACTGGACACAGTACTCCAGATGAGGCCTCACCAATGTCAAATAGAGGGGAACTATCACGTCCCTCGATCTGCTAGCAATGCCCCTACTTATACATCCCAAAATGCCATTGGCCTTCTTGGCAACAAGGGCACACTGTTGACTCATATCCAGCTTCTCGTCCACTGTAATCCCTAGGTTCTTTTCTGCAGAACTGCTGCCTAGCCATTCGGTCTCTAGTCTGTAGCGGTGCATTGGATTCTTCCGTCCTAAGTGCAGGACTCTGCACTTGTCCTTGTTGAACCTCATCAGATTTCTTTTGGCCCAATCCTCCAATTTGTCTAGGTCCCTCTGTATCCTATCCCTACCCTCCAGCGTATTTACCTCTCCTCCCAGTTTAGTGTCATCTGCAACCTTGCTGGGGGTGCAATCCACACCATCCTCCAGATCATTAATGAAGATATTGAACAAAACCGGCCCCAGGACCGATGCTTGGGGCACTCCACTTGATACCGGCTGCCAACTAGACATGGAGCGATTGATAACTACCCGTTGAGCCCGACAATCTAGCCAGCTTTCTACCCACCTTATAGTGCATTCATCCAGCCCATACTTCCTTAACTTGCTGACAAGAATACTGTGGGAGACCGTGTCAAAAGCTTTGCTAAAGTCAAGAAACAACACGTCCACTGCTTTCCCTTCATCCACAGAACCAGTTATCTCGTCATAGAAGGCAATTAGATTAGTCAGGCATGACCTTCCCTTGGTCATGGGAATGGGAATTGATATGAGCAATCACTCAAAGAAGAACATTTAAAAACTAATTTAGGGTAAAATTAGTCCCAGTGGCTCTTGCCAGCTCCAGGGGTAAGGCTTACGGTTGTGGGCCAGGGCTGGTATGTACCTTAACTGTGTTTCCTGGCTTACAGAGATTGAGGTATAAGTACATTCAGTGTTTTGGAAGAGCCCAGGAAAGACTCAAGAAGCTCCAGTCCTCTACAGTGAATTTGAGCCACGCCTAGGGGGAAAAAAACCCTCTGATTGGCTGCTCGCCCCACCTGTCTGCTTCTTGCAGCAGAGCAACCAATCAGAGCTGCTGTAGGAGTTCTCTCTCTCTCTCTCTCCTGCTCCCCTCAGCAACCCAGAGCCATTCTCACCAGTGGGACAGGGAGCAGACAAAGCCTAGCACTTCAGAGTGGCTCTGCTCCCTCCTTCCCCTTCTGTGAGAAATGGGACAGCTCCTTTGCCTTTCCCCACAACATTCACCTGGGAAGAGGCAGAGGGTGGTGAAGTTCCCTTTGTCCTGTGCACTGAAGGAGGCAGGGGTCCTTTGGAAAAAACAGGACGTGATCGTGAAATTAAAGACTGTATCGTCAGGGATATGCCGAGGGGGTTGTATTCAGGTTGCACTAGGGGTCTTTTAGTGTAGTTTTTGTAAGTAATTATACAGGCATTAAAAAAAAGTAGATTTTGTTTTCTTTCCACAGACTCAGTCAAACCCCATTAAACATCAGGAGTTTTCGCAGGCTGGCACTCTGAAGCCCAAGGGCACTACCTTCATATGTGTAACTGTTTTTGCCACAGGGTGACTGTTTACAGGGCACTGATCATTGTAGACCAGAGGTTCTCAAAATGGGGGGCACACAGGTATTCTGGGGGCAGCTTGAGAAACTTTGGGGGAAAAGACATATGGTGCATTTAGAGCTGCGTGGTTGGAGCGCCGTGGCTGCTGGCCAGGCGCCCAGCTCTGAAGCCAGCGCTGATATTCTATGATTCTATGAGAGAGCAAACGAGATCACTTTGTTAGGATGCTAGTGGCCTGAGGCCAGGATACGAGAACCATTCACACAGGATTTTGAAAGAGAAAGTCAGAACATAGAGGCTGGATTAGTTTTGCCCTGCCCCATACCCCCAACACTCCAGTCCTCTCCAATACACCAATCCCCTCAAGGTTTCCATCGCTCACCAGTCACTTCTAGTAATTTAGGACAAACAGATAATGAAAAGAAAGTTACCTCTAATTCTGCTTGGGAGGACAGTGTAGGGGTGTTGCACCGCAGCTGGTCTGGTTCATTCTGTTTTTTACTAATGGCCTCCAGGGTCAGGAAGCTTTAAAAGGTAGTAACAATGCAACCTCCACTATGGAACTGCTATTGCAGTTTCCCCCTAATGTGTTTGGCTGGAGAAGTTCCAGCCATCTTGTGCTCAGCTGCAAAGATGCAGGAGTGAGAATCCGCCAGAGATGAGACTTAGATTCCCCTAAATCCAACAATATTCTGCCAAGAACTTAGGGTACATCTGCACTTCAATAAAAAACCCACGGCATCGAGTTTCAGAACCCAGGTCAATTGACTTGGGCTCACAAGGCTTGGGCTGTGAGGCTAAAACTTACAGTTTTAGACATCCAGGTTCAAGCTGGAGCCTGAGCTCTGACACCCACCCCCATCACAGGGTTTCACAACCCAGGTGGCAGCCTGAACCTGAGCATCTGCACTGAAATGTTTAACCTCGCAGCCGGAGTCCCATGAGCCCAAGTCAGCTGAGCTGGGCCAGCCATGGCCATGGATCTTTTATTACAGAGTAGACATACCTTGAGAAGCATCATGTGGGGAGGCCACCCCCAATACAAAGGGCTTCTCCTTTAATCTGCCCATCTACGAAAACTCTCAGAAACCAGTTTTTCCATTTTGAGCAGCTGAGGCTCTGGCCTCTCAGTCAATTACAGCTACTATACAGCTGCTGTCCATGGGCCTCTCCTGGGTCTCAAGGAGAGACTTGGAGCTGAGCAACCACCCTGGGGATTTAATTCCAGGCCCCTTCTGTTTTTAGCTGTGCTCAAAATCTCTAACCTCTAGATGCCCTCAGCTAGTTCTCCATACAGCTGCCCCCTGTTTATTGGCCAGCCCCAGAGGGTCTCCCTGCAGGAAGCACATTACAGAGATCAACACAACAGTTAAGAACAAACATTAGAGTTCCCAAATTTGTTAAAGCATGCAACCAATGATTGCTCAGTATTATAACAAAATGCAAAAGCTCTTTATTTTAAAATAAACCCTGCAAAACAAAGCATGAAAACAAATCAACCCCTAGACCCAGAGAGAAGGACACATACTTCACTTTCATCTTCGTTTTAAAAATGTGCATTAAAATTAATATAAAATCATTCACCATCTCCTACACATTATTTTCTGAAATACTATAGCAATGGAAAGAACAACTCACACCCTCTTCACCAGTTCAAAGCCAAGGAAATAGGCACTGCACAGCTCAGGGACCTTCTGGAGCCAGGAGTTCATTCTTTGCAGCTTGTCACTTTAGTAGGATCCACTGTGACTCCCCCCCACCATGTGGAACTAAATGCTGTTCTCTGCCACGGTCTTGTTAAAGAGGCCCCAGTTTAGGACAGTGGTTTATACTGAGCAAGGACAGGATCTTCCCTACTTTTCAGTATCAACTAGGACTGTAGGGGCTTCAGCCATAGCTAACAATTCATTATCCAGCCTGGTTCTGCAGTCACCTGCCAGCATAGCTGATTTTATTTATTACAAGTATGTCTGTGTCACCCATTACCGTAGTATCTGTGCTCACTGTACTTTGCCTAGAGTGACACAGATGGCTCCCAAGCATGGGATCTGTTTTTGACAGTTCCCCTGTCCAGTGTTGACAAGACTTTCTTTGTGAACAGCCATAGCATCCAAATTAGTGCTGCAGGCGGACACCTCTCTCCCAGGCTCCTACAACATGGTTAGTATCAGTGTGTGGGGCAGATACAGATACACTTATGTTGTGTGACAGGACATAAAAACTGTTTTCAAAGGCTGTTACAGGTTCTACTGTGGACAGAGTCTAACACGGTGAAGTGGGAGAACTCAGTCCTGGCTATCCCTAACCCCACCCTTGGCTAGTTGCTTTCTTCAGACCTCATTGCTGTCAGCAGCAGAATTTCTGAATGGCCTGAGGGATTCTGTGTCTGTGACCCCCTTGTGCTTCCGAGAGGAGTAATACCACTCTCCTAAGAAACCAGGCCTGCTCCGGAAGAAGGAGCTGCACACAGATCACGCCCCCCTATTCCTGACAGCAGGCACCTGGGATTCCTTCGGACATGCTCATTTCCTAGGGCTGAGGGCTCCAAGGGCAGAGCCCTGCACATAGGCCATGATGGCGTTTTGCAGGAAACTAGCTCGTTGGGCCTCCTCTTCCCTCATCCTGGAGATCTCAGCCTCTTTCATCCTCAGCTTCTCCTGGAGAGTAGAGATTTCACTCTCTTTATCCAGCAGGGCCTCTCGGTGGTTACTTGATAACACTGTGCAGAAAGAACCATGTTAGCATAGGGAGTGGGTGTGTCCTTTGGCTCAGGGGGTCAGTACCAGGGAATAACCTGCTGTAGTGGGAGTATGCCTGTGGAGGCAGAGTGGTAACAGACACACACAGCACAGTCTGCTGGAGGCCTTTACCTCTAGCTTTATCTAGTGGGCCCAACAAGACACTGATGGGGCATTTGTGTGCAGATGTGGTATCATGCTCATAGGACTGAGGGTCAAGAGACCTTGGTTCTATCCCCCCCCGCTGTGTGAACTTGAGCACGGCATTTCACTTCTGAGCCTCAGCCTCCCATCTGTAAAATGGGGATAAGAATCCTGAGACACTTCCAGAGGCTCCTGTGCAGTTTAATTCATCGCTATCTGTAGAGCAACTGGAAGGCAGGAAAGAAATATGAGGTGGTATCGTCAAGGGTAACAGCAGGTACCATTCGGCCCCAGACTCTCTAGACCACGGAGCGGGACTAGAGATGACATGACACCTCATACTACTCCCTGCAGTCTGTAAGAGAGATGCTGTATATAACCCCCAACCCCCATGTCCATCACCTTTCAATTGCCTCTCCAGGGCAGCAATCTTCTCTTTCAGCCCTTCCTGTGCTGTCCTTTCAGCCTGCAGGTGTCCAATCTGCTCCTGCAGCTCAACTCTCACTTTGTTCACCTCAGCCACCTTCTCCTGCTCCTTGCCACTCAGGTCCTAGCATACACAGGGCATGAGAGACCAGCAACCTCAGCACACAGTTCTGCATCAATTACTGCCCTAGTACCTGTTGTAGTTCCTCCATGCGCCTCTTGAGCCCTTCGGTTTGCAGGGTCACCTGGCTGACCTTGGCCTGTGCCTCTCCCACTGCCTGCTTCTGCCGAAGGCAGTAGTTCTGAGCTTCATCACGTGACTGTGTCATCAGCCGTAGCTTCTCTTCCAAGTGATCCAGGCGCTGTTGCTGTAAAACACAAGCATGTAGCTTCTCGGCCTCCTGTAAGAGGATTCTCCCCAGCCCAGGGTCACGAGCAGTGACTGGCCTAGCAAGTGTTTGGATGGGAAGCAGAAATTATGCAGTGTGTGGTGGCAAGGAGTCACCAAGGGACACGCCTCTCTTGAATTGAACAGGGGCCAGTGCCTCTTTCTGATGATGGAGACAATGATCTGGTGGAAGGGCTGCCTTTTGGAGGAGTTGTAAAAGCAAGGCCCTAACCACCCACTGAAGATCCCAATGGGCATTTCACAGGGTAGGACTGTTAACACCAGAGTCCTGGACGTGCCCCAGTTCTGGTATTTACATCCTATAGCCTGGGTTCATTTCAGTTTGACACAGCATTCTTCTTCACTTCCTGTCCTAAATGGCTGGGCAGCATTGCTGTATCTGGTTATTCAGCTGCTGCATCCCACCTCAGACATCACAGCACTTATGCAGTGGTGAAGTGTGAGGGGGTGTGTGTGTGTATTTATAAGCTCATAAAGCATTTTAGCTTGGGATGTAAGGTGCTAGAAGAGGTCTGGATCCTGAGGAAGACTCCTGTGCCACACAAGGGGCACCTCACCCTGCATGCTGGTCTCACTGTGGTTTCCACGGGTTTCAAGTCTAGAAAGTAACATTTCTTGTCCAACAACAATAGCCATACAAGAAAAATTCTACCGAGCCTAGAGAACTGCAGCAGCACATGAAGCCTGCAGAAACATAGCAGCGGAGGGATCCACTTGTCTGCCAGGACCTTGAGCATAAGCAGTTAGAATGACACCCTATTACACCATAACCACTAATTCTGTATGTAATGAGTTGGAAGGCGCTGGGCTGTTGGGGACAGGGGTGAGGGTTTTGAGACAACTTGGTATGGAAAGTGCTGATATAGCTTGATGCAGACATCTCAGGTTACTCCCCCTCATGAGTCAGTCAATAATTAGGATAACAAGACCAAGAAGAACAAGTTACTGAACAGATATTGGAGAAAGACACATGCTGGAAAGATAAATCTGCTCCCACCTCCACCGACAGGCCCAGCAGCTGGGTCACGGTCTTACCTCTTCCAGCCTGGCCTGGCCCCGGACTTTGATTAACTCCTCCTCTGCCTGACCTCGCTCAGCAAATGCCGCTGCTTTGACTCGGCTCAGCTCCTATCACAGACACACACGACACACACATTCCAGCCGTGATATCATGCAGCTTCAGGCCACAGATGGGACAGGGCTAAAAGTGATGCAGCCATATCCTTTCCCTTAGGGGCAGGGAGCAAAAGGCATCCCCCACCCTGAAGCTGCCTGGGTCAGTCATTTGATTCACAGATCAAGCTTCAGGTGCAGGTGGGAATGCACCAGACACATTGTTCCAGGGCCAGGGAGCTACAGCCAGGAGGGGCACGGGGGTTGAAAAACCTGATAGTCAAATCAAAATGAAAATAGAATATTTGATATAAAATCTGTGTCCCTTCTCTCTCAGTCTCCTAAGGCAGCCCTTCCCCTGAGGTGCTGTTCTCCATGGGCCTTAGCCCATAGGCAAATACATCACTGCTGTAGGCAACGTTTAATTCCCCTGACTGCGTGCCCAAGCCCTGCTATCTTACCCAGTTTCTGATCCAGGACTCTGTTTGACCTCACGCCACCACTATCCAGTAGAAAGAGTTTTTGTTTAAATGGGATATCAAATGAACAGATGCCTCAGTTCCCTTGTCTTCTCATCTCTGCCCCAGCCCCCACGCCCCACAACACAGTGAGTGTCACAGCCCAGCAGTGGCAAATTTTGTAGAAGCCCCTTGTTAAAATATTGGCAGCACATTCCTGCCACTGCAACTCCACGACAACCAATGACTCCCAGACACACATGCACCCGGACCACTCGCTCTCACCTCTTCCAGCCCAATCCGGGTGGCTTCCAGCCTCTGGATTCTCTCCTGCATGGAATGCTCACTTGCCTCCATGTGATGTGTCATGTGATCCACCTGCAAAGCAGCAGGAGCCATTCCAGTGGGTTTCTGGCACCTTGTTATTCCTGAGATACAGCAGTCACCCAGCACTGAGAATAGCACACTCCTCTCTAGCCAGCTACTGGCAAGAGCAAACAAAGCTTCCTCCTTTCCCAACACCACTCTTCTGTGAGGCTCCAACAAAACTGAGCAGCAATGCCTTTAATAGGAAGCCATAGCTTTGCATACAAATTCCCCCACATTTCTGGAGAAAGGGAGTTGGAGTCAACTCCCAGAAGCTCAGACCACCCTGTAGTTTGGTCCTGGACTGGAGCCAAACACCGGGAAAGGCCCAGGCTCCAGTTGGGATATGGGATGAGGTCTTCCTGAAACAGATCTCTCATGAGATTTCCACACACACCCAAGAACAGTTTGGAAGGTTTTAGTTTTGAGAGACCCAAATCCAATCCAGATCTGATCACAGCCTCCTCATCACTGCCTGTGCCAGTGGAGAATCAGTCCCCAAATCCCAGGGAGGAACTGCTAATAGAGCTGGGACTCTAAGCACCCTGTATTCGCACCATACACACTACTGCAATAATCTTGGTCCAAAATATATTTTGTGAAGCATCATTTGAAAATAAATAACTCACTAGTCAATATCATGGTAAAATATATGTAGCAACATTATACATAAAGTTATGAATTCCCCCTGTATGATGTTACTTGTTCAAAACCAGATAGCCCTGCCAGGGCCAAAGTTGTTAAACAGGCCTACCCTAAACAAAGCAAGGTGTGCTTACCTCAGTTTACATATAGGTAGTAAACAGAACCTTCAAGACAGCATGGGGTGGGAGGAGAGATTGGTAAAAATGCGAATTGTTTGGAGCAGGATTTTAAAACAAAACAAAACAAAACCAACAACAAAACATGGGGCCTCCTTCACCACCAGACTGCAAGCTGCATGTCACTTCCTCACCATTTAAATAAACTTTACTTTGAGGAGTAACCTTCAGAAGAATCCATTACAAAGGTTCACTGGACTATAAAAGAAAGGGGCAGAAAATTCTTCTCTCTTTCACCCAAGAAGATAAAGAAATCAGCATCTTTGGGCTTCTGGAAGAGATCCTGACTGAGAAGGTCAGCCACTGTGGAAGACTGTGGGCGAGAAAAGCTTCTTGAACAATGCCTCAAACCAAACCTTGCTAGATTCAGTTTTAGGCTTGTAGATGTGTATTTTCACTTTTATTTTCTTGTAACCATTTCTAACTTTATCTCTTACACTTGAACTCACTTAAAATCCTGTCTTCTTTTGTTAATAAACTTGTTTTACGATTACTCTAAGCCAGCTGTGTTTGTACTACAGTGAAAGTGAACTTTGGGTAATTTGACAAGCTGGTGGGTTTGATCTCAAAGGAGCAAACAGATCTTATTATTCCTCTGAATGTTGCAGGAGAGGGGTGGACATTTCAGAGCACACAGGTCTGGGGAAGTTCAGGACTGGGGGTGATGTTGGGGTCACCTGCTAACATTAAACAAGTCTGATAAAGACAAAAGCATGTCTGTGATAACTGCAGGCAGGCTGTTCGATTCAAAATGGTTGAATCAGAGCTCCACAGCACACAGAAGACCAAATGCATGCTGGCTGTGTGCATGTCCCAGACAGGGAGCCACAAGTAGCAGAAACATTTTGAGGCACTCAGGTTATATATAATGCAACAGTGATACAACCTCTCACTGGTGTGAACTGCACCTAGAACATGACAAGAGCCGAGCACTGATCATTGGCCCTGAATTGCACAAATGGGTGTTTGAGACATTTTGTTGTTTGCTCCAGCAAAATATCTTTTTCAGGATAAAAATGACGACGCCACGAGTTCACAGTTACTGCCCTCTGGAGACAGGATCAAAGGACAAATCTCTGACACCCCAGCACACTCCTGAGGGCTGCAGAACCTTGCTGGATGGCCTAGCAGCAGGGTGCCCTGCAATTTCTCCTGCCAGGCTCAGGCCTCAGGCTGACTGGAAAGAGTTTCTATTTTTATAAATGGCCTTTTGTTCCCATGGATGAGCCAGAGGCTGCTGGATCCTCACCTGACATCAACAAACAGTCCCAGTAACTAAACCAAAGGGGTCAGTAGCCCAGAGGCCAGTGGGGAGACTTGGTTCAGTTGCTGCTCTTACCTCTTTCAGTCGAAGGGATTCCATATCTTCCAGGCCCTGTTTAAATCTCTTCTTCTCCATTTCAAGGCGTTCTGGAGGTTAAAAGGGAGCGGATTATCAACCAAGGTTTCCCCCTGGTACTCCACACCTTCCCTTCACATTACATGTCTCACTACAAATCTTTATGCTCGGACTCCAGGGTCTGGCTCCCTAATAACTCAATTCTCTGATTCCCCCCAGGCCTGGCTGCCCAGCTCCTCCACTCACCCTCTGCCTGCGCGACTCGCAGTTTCAGCTCTGCTGTTGTGTTTGTCAAATCTTGCTTCACCTGGAACAGCTGGTCCTGCTGGGCTTTGCACCTTCTCTCTAGCTCATCCACCTGAATGGAAATTACCACCATGAAGTGAAGACAAACAGAGCTTCTGCTTCCACTAGCACTGGGATGGGTGGCTGGCTGTGCACGGCCACTAGGCAGTGGGAGCACAGGAAAGGGTCTGGAAACCTTCACACACTTAGCAAAGTGAAAAGTATGTTGGGAATTCCCTATCCCCATCCCATGTTTCAGCCTAGGCTTGCTCTCCTACCTGGTTTCTTAAAAGCAGGTTTTTCTCATTGGCAGCAGATAGGTGCTGGAGAAGGTTTGTTTCCCGATCAGAAGCTTCCTGCAAACGGAGCCCAGGATTAGGAAAGCCCATCCCAGAACTCCTGAGGCCCCACACCGCCATCCAATACCACTTCAAAATAACCCAAGTGCCCAACACCATCACTTTCTCCCACCCACAGTACAGATCATTCTCCACAGTCACTACTCTGACCTTCACCGTTCACAGCAGTTCATATACGGAACCACCTGACTTCTCATCCCATCCAGCATCCCCTGATACCCCAAACCAGAATGCCACCCACAATCTAATATTGACCAGCCCCCCATCCAGCCCACCTGTTTTTGCTGCCGGAGCTCCTTCAATTGGCACTCGGTCATGCTGGCTTGCTCCTGCTTTGTGGCACTCAGAAGCTCTCCCAGGTTGTGCACTTTCTGCTCAGACAGAGCTAATGCAGCTTCAGTCATCTGCAGCCTACACAACAGAAGGCACAGATGAGATTTTAATCTTTGTCCTCCCAAAAATATATCATAGTCCCAGTGAATTCTCTACACTGGACAGTACAGGATATGCAGCAAGACACAACCTCACAGCAACATAGGAAGAGCCAGAGGATCAGCTTGGGGTCCTCCCAACTCCATCTCTTGTCTCAGACAATGGTCAGCACCAGCTGCTTCAGAGGAAGGAGCAAGAAACTCTGGAATTTGCAATTACAGAATAACTTGCTCATTGGGGCAGTTCCTTCCTACCCCTCATCAGTTAGTGGTTAGCTCAGATCTTGAAGCACAAGGACTTGTATCCCCTAATGTATCTGTATCACGTCTAATGTTACTCATTATCCAGAGATACTGGATCCTTTTTCGCAAAAAGAAAAGGAGTACTTGTGGCACCTTAGAGATTAACCAATTTATTTGAGCATAAGCTTTCGTGAGCTACAGCTCACTTCATCGGATGCATCGGGTGCCACTAGTACTCCTTTTCTTTTTGCGAATACAGACTAACACGGCTGCTACTCTAAAACCTCGATCCTTTTTGGAATCCTACTAAGCTCCTGGCTGCAATGAAAACTTGTGGCAAGAATTTGAGCAGACTAATTTTATGTTGTGTAAGAGAAAGTTACTCACCTTGCAGTAACTGAAGTTCTTCGAGATGTGTGTCCCTGTGGGTGCTCTACTCTAGGTGATGGTGAGTCCTGGCGGCGTTGATTGGAGATCTTTGGTAGCAGTGCCTGGTCGGGACGCACGTGTTCAGCTGGTGTCTCACAGTCTCGTTAGAATCTGTCTGAGTGTGTGCATCCTGCGCCCCCCTCAGTTCCTTCTCTACCATGGAGAAATCATACTAGTACTCCAAAGTAGAGGGGAGAGGGCAGGGAGTGGAGCACCCACAGGGACACACATCTAGAAGAACTTCCTTTACTGCAAGGTGAGTAACTTCCCCTTCTTCTTCGAGTGCTGTCCCTGTGGGTGCTCCACTCTAGGTGAATGTGTAGCAGTACCCACTATGGTCGACAGGACTTTGGAGATGCGGCAGTGAGTACTGTAGAGAGTACTGTATGGCCTACTATGGTGTCTGCCGTGGTATCCTGCGTGATAGCATAGTGTTTGGCAAACGTGTGTTCAGATGACCATGTAGCTGCTTTACAGATGTCAGGAATGGGTATATTATGTAGGAAGGCAACGGATGTCGACATGGCTCAAGTGGAATGAGTTTGAATGCCTTTGGGTGGCTGAATATTTTGGATGCGGTAACAGGATCTGATGCAGTCAAAGATCCACTTGGACAGGCATTGCCTAGAGATAGCCATACCTTTCGATCTTTCGGTAATGGAGACAAAGAGTTGTGGGGACTTACAAAATGGTATAGTCCTGTCTAAATAAAAGGCGATTGCTCGCCTGACGTCGAGAGCATGCAGAGTTGCCTCGTGAGGAGTCTTGTGAGGTTTGGGATAGAAAGTAGGTAAGTATATCGGTTGGTTAAGGTTGAAGGTGGACATCACCTTACGGAGAAATTTAGGATGTGGTGTCAGGGTGACTTTGTCTTTGGAGAAGATGGTGTAGGGAGGATAGGCCATCAGGGCGCTTATTTCTCCTACTCTCCTTGCTGACGTTACTGCAACTAAGAAAGCCACCTTCATGGACATATGAAGAAGAGAGGAGGTAGCCAAGGGCTCGAATGGAGGTTTCATGAGACCGCAAAGAACAAGGTTAAGATTCCATGTAGCTGCCGTTGGATAAATTTCCAGGGTAGAGATTTTGTAGGCCTGTGATAAATCACTTTATGATGGGGTGGGTAAAGACTGAGTAGCCTTCTAACAAGTCACGGAAGATGGTAAGTGCCACCAGGTGTACTTTGATGGAGCTGAGCAAGAGTCCATCCTGTTTCAATTTTAGAAGGTAGTCTAGGATGTTAGGGAGGGTTACTGTATGGGGGTGTTGGGTGATTATATGAGCACCAGAAGGAGAAACGTTTCCACTTCTGCAGGCATATCAGTGAAGATAGCCAAGTCAGGTGGGGAGAGCGGCTGTTCGAAGAGTGAGCCCTGTGTATCCAGGAGCGGGGAGTTAGGCTCAGGTGTGAGGTCAGAGGTCACACTGACTGAGAAACTGCTGCTTCTGCTCCCAAGGCTGCGCGGAGCATGATCTGTGCTCAGGCGCATCATTGAGTCTGAGTTTTTCCGGTCTCGTGGGTCACTTGGAGGTGCCCTGCAGGGGGTCCACTGCTGGTGCCGGAGCGGCAGGCAGGCTCAGTGCTGACGTTCTTCCCAGCACCGGGGCAGAGCACTGTCGGCACCGCGTCTGTGTTTGGTGCCAAGTGGACCGGTGCCGAGGAGACTTTCCTGGTACAGGAGATCGGGTCCCTGCCTCTGTGCTCCGCGGAAGCTGCGGCTGAGGCGTTGTGACAGCCTGAGGCGCCTGCCTTCTGCGCTGTCAATACAGAGGGCAAGGATCTCGCAGGACACCCTTTACCCTTGTTAAAGTCTCTCCTCAGAGACTGTTGCGCTTCTTGCGTCTGCTCCTGAGAGGGTGAAACCACGCTCCCAATTGGTTCAGATCTGGCCAGGAAATGTGAAGGAGAGGGTTTCCCAGTCTCCGAAGGCGGCTGCAGAGATCTTTCCATTAATAGCATTTTAAGCCGCAGATCCCTGTCGCAACGAGCCCTGGTCTTAAGGCTCGTACAGTGGAGGCACGTTGTGGGGACGTGTGTTTCGCCAAGGCACTTTGCCGAGCGTGAGTGCCCATCAGACCTTGGCATGGAGTCCTGACAGGAAACACACTTTTTAAATCCTGAAGGCCGGGCATTATGAATTAGAAATGGCAGGGGAGAGTGTCTCAGCGGGAGACAAGCCTGAGGCGAAAAAGTTTTTTGTTTTTTTTTTTAAAACTAAGCAACTAAACTATGTAACTATTCTAAAGGAAGGGAAACAACTGGGATGTTACTAACAACTATTCCTATGTTCTTTGCAACTGTTTCTTAGAGAGACCAGGGAAGAGAATCAGCACTGCCGCGAGTCCCGTCTTCAGCCGAGGACGGTTGAGAAGGAACCGAGGGGGGCGTGGGACGCGCACGCTCAGGCAGATTCTAACGAGACCGCGAGACACCAGCTGAGCGCGTGCATCCTGACCAGGCACTGCTACCGAAGATCTCCAATCAACGGCGCTGGGACACACTGTCACCTAGAATGGAGCACCCACAGGGGCAGCACTCGAAGAACAAAATATTTATCATCAGTTATAAATTTGTTGCCTTTCAATTTTGCTCTTGTAAAAAAGGCTGAATAGAAGCATCTGATTGTGATCGCTGAGCTGTTTACAGGACACTTAGAGAACTTTTTCTTCAGTTGTTACAGTTAATTTATACACCAATAAGGGGCCTGAGTAGCTCCACTTATTCCTTCAATGTCCTGCACCATATATTGCATTTCTCAACAGTGAATTTCATGTACCCACTCACCTAGGTTGTTGGGTCCCTCTTCACTGTCTGTGACAATCATACCTCGCCACACCCCTGCTCTGCTGGCAGAAGTCTGTAGTATAGAACTGGCCTTAAACACACACAGCAAATGGGCCAACTCCCTCCCACTCTGCAAAGACAGACTGCTTGTCCTCAACCCCTGGACAGCCTAGCCCATGTCCTCTCCTCCATACCAGCCCTGCACAGCCCATCTCTTGCCTCCTGCCAGCTCTGCATGGCCGAGCTTCCCATCTACTTAACCACTCAACAGTGATACCAGCTCTTGCAGCTCGTTTCTCAGCTTCTCCCACAAATGCACAGAATGTCCGTACTGTATTCATCTGTCAGGCCACAACCCACCCTCCCTCAAAACCCTGTACAAGATCCACTTCCACAGGGATCAATGCTGATGGGAAATTGCCAATTGACAGCAGTGAGGCAGGTGGCCAGTGGGGATCACTGACATGATTGTTGGATTCCCCCATCACTTCGATAGCTGAGAGTTCAGCTGATATTGACTTAAGTTTTGGGCTTATTTGTTTTTATGGTTTCTCACGTGGGAAGCAAGTCTGATCCCTGATTTGCAAGTGTAGTTGTTGTTGGGGGGAGGGCTTCAGGCACAGGCTTTACAATGTGCTCGCTTTTCCTGTGAGACCTCACATGCCACTCCTCAAAAGTGGACACAGCCACATGGCACAGACCTCTCCATCTAGGTCTGTCCAATGCAACAAGTTCCCAGGTGCCCTGGAAACTGACATGATTAGTGTCCATTTATCTCTCCAGCCTGCAAACTGCTGGGAGCCCATCCCCACAATGGGCTGCCTTGTCACTGTCCCCCTTGACCCACTCCTAAGCCCACCTGCTTGTCTGCTACTTCTTCTAGCGTGCAAGCTCTTTGGGGCAGTCACTGTTTACTACATTTGTGCAGCACGCAGTACAATGGGCCCTGATCCTTACTCAGACCTTTAGATGCTAACAAAATACCAACTGAAATAGTGAGCCAGGTACTCCCTCCTCTCTCCATATCTCTGATCAATACAGCCTACTTCTCATACAACGGAATAACTGGGCAGATTCTTTCCTCCATACTTGGCTTTTAGTGAATTCATGACAGACTGCCGCTCATTCAGGGCTTCCTGTAACTGGCCAACTCGTGCTGCTGATGTCCTGAATTGGGAAAAGAAAAACATTAACATCCCATTCCATCTCAGACTTCCCTCTGAGAACCTGATCTTTCCCCCTATGCGAGGAGGGAGCCAAGAGATTCACTGACCTGCTGCTCCTAGTTATTTCTTCTCTCTGTTTATCAATAGTGTCCATCAAATCCAGGAACTGAGAATGAGACAAACATCAGTCACACTGTGAACTGCATAAGTTTGTGGCATTTAGACCTGCCTCTCCCTACCCTCCCTTTGGGACCGCATGGGGAGCAGCACCAGCTGATCTACTGGAAGAAGCCAAACTGGTGATCTGATGGGTGTCACCACCTGGCTTGACTAGGATCATTGATCAAAGCTAGTGTTCTGTCTCAGAGACTTTGTACCACAGGGAGGGAGAGGATGTGGAAATCACATGTATTAACAATTTCATAAACTGGTAAGTACTGAACTGTCCCAGTAAGAGAAAGAACAGGATGAATGGAAATGAAACCACTGAAATTCTTTGGCTCCCAAAGACAAGTGTGTCAACCAGAGGATGTTTCCAATGCATCTAATCTACCTACTGGTGGATCTGCTCCCAAGGGCAACCCAGCCCCAATCTGCTGTATGATGCTGTGTGCCTACTGCAAGTATGAACGCAGCACGTCAGTATGTGCAAGTGGCTCCTTGGGCCAGGATTCCTGGTACTGTGCTACTTTACAAAGACAATTCGCAGAAAAGCCAGCGTCCATGGCTGCCACATTCAAGCTGCTGAAGCATTAGGAGGCCACTCACCTGCTTAGCCTTCTCCTCCTTCAGACTAAACACCTCCTTACTGAGCACGCGTGTCCGGCTGTGGTTCTCAGCGAGAATGGTCTGGCGATCCTGGTTATGATCCATGGCTTGTTCTGACACAGAGAGAACTAGAGTAGATATGCACATTTCCATAGCAATAGAGCAGTGAGAGGTTCTACAGCAGGATGATACCCAGACCCCTGTGGGCTCCCCATGGACCCCCTTTAGGGAGACTGTTCCCACAATATGGGTGCAATGGATAGAATGAAGGAAGTGTTCTGTGTTAAAGAAATAGCCTCCAAAACCCACAATAACGCAGCTCAGTGGAGGCTGCTTTTGGCAACTTCCAAACTGTACCACAGCCACTACGGGACAATACAAAGCCCCACTGAAGGGGGAGCCCTTCCCTGTTTACATGACACTCCAAGATTGCACTCAATCAAACCCCACCATCTCCTCCCCTAGCTGGTCTCTGCAGGGCAGAACTGGAAAAATTCCAACATATCTCCCCTTAGCACAGTACAGCTCCCTGCAGTACCCGAGTTCAGCACAGCTCCTTCCTTATCAGTAGGCAGGGCCCTAAATGGCTCCTGTCATGGACTGGGAGACATGGGGCTCCTCTGAGATAGCAGCAGCCCCATCACCATCCATATCCCTGTGGTGAGAAGAAGAATGCACACATCTTGCTCACACAACATTGGCCACATACCCACAGCCTTTAGGATGTCACTGGGGACGTTGTTCCCAGCCAGCTCCAGCCTCCTCAAGGTCTTGTTGCTGTGCAGACAGCTCAGTAATGCTCGGCCCCCCAGGAGCCCAATGTTATTCCAACGCAAATCTAGAGAGGCAACAAACCATCACCCTGGCAACTGCACCAGCACCATCAGGCCATATTGAATATATTCCTCACACATGGCACCCCTGCACAGTGGGTCAGCTCCCTCCAAGAGCCTCAGCATAAAGCCACCAGTGGGTGTGGTTCACCCATCTGAGAGTGATGGAATGAGAAAGTGATGGACAGTGCAAACATATAGCAAATGCAACTTCATCTACCCTCTCAGCATCCTGCAGAAGGACCTGCAATAAACGCTGCACACACTGCTAAATCTGCGCAAGTCTGCGCAGTCTGCGCATTCTAGCCAGACAAGCCTGCAGGATGTTCCCATCACGTCATTACTCAACAAACCCAACTTCCTTAGAGAGGCTGCCCAGCCCAGAAGCTTGCTTCTAGTCTGAAAGAAAAGAAACTCTCTGCAGAGAGACAACACAGCAGCAGCCTCTGCCCAGTTAGGGAGGGGAAGGGAAATTCTATCAAGGCTTCTATTTGAGGTAGCAGGGCATCTGCACAAAAAAACCTCAGGGCCTGGAATAAGATGCATGAGTCTCAAACGAACAGGACAGTCATAAGCTGGGGGGATGGCTCTTCTCATCAACCCCAAGGGTGGTGCTTCTGCACCAGGTACCCACATTTAGACTCTGTGCTTCCACTCCAGAGTTTCTGGTTAGCCCCTGCTTATCTAAGTCATGAAATCTCTAGCGGCTGCCAGGGCTGCCACTGGCATAGAGTCTCTGAACAGCTCTGGAGTGACTGGAAATGGGTAGGCAGTGCCACAGGCAATGTTCCCTCTAATTTTTCCCATGCATGTGCGGAATGAATTTTATGTGCCCCAATATGGAGGTGATGTGACACATCACCTCCATATTGGGGCACATAACAAAATTCATGCAGTGGGGCCAAAGGGGTTTGGAGTGTGGGAGGGGGGCTCTTGGCTGGGGCATAGGAATGGAGTGCAGGAGGGTGGTGAGGGCTCTGGGGTGGAGCCAGGGGTGAGGGGCTCAGGGCTGGGGCAAAGGGTTGGGATGTGGGGGATGAGGGCTCTGGGGTGGGGCCGGGGATGAGAGGTTTGGGGTTCATGCTGCATCTCTCCCCGCTTCAGCCCCAAGCCCGTGCACAGGGCTTAACAGGCAGCTGCGCGAGACTGCGCAGCTTAGATGGAGCTTAGGCCACAGGTACTACCTGAAAGTGGTAACGAGTCCTGAGGAAGGGGAGTTGCTCTTACCCAGCTCCCGTAGGCTGGAATTGCATTTCAGGGCCAAGGCCAGCTCTCCTGCCCCCTGGTGGTTAATCTGGTTATTGCGCAGATCCAGCCACTGGAGGAAGCGGTTGGCTCCTAGTCCCTGGCAGAAGAGGGAAAAGCCCTCCTCCCACATTCCCAGGCTGTTCCACTCCAAGGTGAGGCTGAGGGGAAAGTTAAACAGGAGTCACAGGTTAATCTACATCCCTAGGAACAAGGAACAGCAAGAGGCTGAAGGGGCTGTCTCAGCTTAGCTCCTGTGGGGACCCAATCACAGGCCCACCCTAGCCAACAAAGACCAGACTCCAAAGAGAAGGGAAAAAGAAAAGGAGTACTTGTGGCACTTTAGAGACTAACAAATTTATTTGAGCATAAGCTTTCATGAGCTAGGCTCTCAAGTGTCCACCCCAGCTCTGGTCCAGCAGAGAAGGAAGCCCCCAACCCTCGCACCCACTCACCCAGTACAGAGTGGACAGACGGGTGGAAGTGACTTTACACCTCACCTTCTGATGGATTTGTTCTGCCTCAGGAGTTTCCCCAAAGCCTCAGCACCCGGAGCTCGCAGGTTATTCCCCTGAAACAAATACCGCAGGTGAGTGGCTTACCGTGTCCCGTTTCATCGCGCCTGATACACAGGGTGGTGCCAAGGCTGAGTTGTGGTTATGATTTATCACATGTGGGTAATACTGGTCCCATGCACACTGCCCACTAAACCCGGGCTCTCCAGCCCCCGTGTGGAAATGCACAAATCCTGCCGGTGACAGTGCCAAATAGAAACAATGCTGCCTGGCCTTACTGTGCTGGGAAACACTTTCCACATGGGGGAGCCAAATACCTCCCATATGGAAACTGTGGTGTCAAATATGATAGTCATTTACCTGTGATAAGAAGGTAGCCTCAGACTCTTGGCATCTTGTGGCCATTTCGACTTTTCACCAGGAAGGGCTCATCTGACAGCAGAGCAAGGCACGATGGATGGGTTTGGGAACTAACTCAGAATGATACCATGTCCTAGCAGAAGGCTGTCTTTATGTTTTGTTTTTGTTTTTTTAAATAAATCTTTTGTTAACACTGTCCCCTGAGGACCTGTGGGAAGTGTGAACTATCCAGGGGCTCCAGATCCCACTGTTCTGCGCACACACACACACACATCCATAACTCAAGCTTGGTTGTCAGTGTTGCAATGCGTATTTCCTTCCCGTGGAAGGAAAAGGCCTAGGTAGGGAGCGTCGAATCGTGGAAGTCAACGAATGGCTACGCAGGTGGTGTCGGAGAGAAGGCTTTGGATTCTTCGACCATGGGATGGTGTTCCAAGAAGGAGTGCTAGGCAGAGACGGGCTCCACTTAACGAAGAGAGGGAAGAGCATCTTCGCGAGCAGGCTGGCTAACCTAGTGAGGAGGGCTTTAAACTAGGTTCACCGGGGGAAGGAGACCAAAGCCCTGAGGTAAGTGGGAAAGCGGGATACCGGGAGGAAGCACAGCCAGGAATGTCTGTGAGGGGAGGGCTCCTGCCTCACACTGGGAATGAGGGGCAATCAACAGGTTATCTCAAGTGCTTATATACAAATGCACAAAGCCTTGGAAACAAGCAGGGAGAACTGGAGGTCCTGGTGATGTCAAAGAACTATGACGTGATCGGAATAACAGAGACTTGGTGGGATAACTCACATGACTGGAGTACTGTCATGGATGGTTATAAACTGTTCAGGAAGGACAGGCAGGGCAGAAAAGGTGGGGGAGTAGCACTGTATGTAAGGGAGCAGTATGACTGCTCAGAGCTCCGGTACGAAACTGCAGAAAAACCTGAGTGTCTCTGGATTAAGTTTAGAAGTGTGTGCAACAAGAGTGATGTAGTGGTGGGAGTCTGCTATAGACCACCGGACCAGGGGGATGAGGTAGATGAGGCTTTCTTCCGGCAGCTCACGGAAGCTACTGGATCGCATGCCCTGATTCTCATGGGTGACTTTAATTTTCCTGATATCTGCTGGGAGAGCAATACAGCGGTGCATAGACAATCCAGGAAGTTTTTGGAAAGCGTAGGGGACAATTTCCTGGCGCAAGTGCTAGAGGAGCCAACTAGGGGGGCGCTTTTCTTGACCTGCTACTCACAAACCGGGTAGAATTAGTGGGGGAAGCAAAAGTGGATGGGAATCTGGGAGGCAGTGACCATGAGTTGGTTGAGTTCAGGATCCTGACACAGGGAAGAAAGGTAAGCAGCACGATACGGACCCTGGACTTCAGGAAAGCAGACTTCGACTCCCTCAGGGAACGGATGGCCAGGATCCCCTGGGGGACTAACTTGAAGGGGAAAGGAGTCCAGGAGAGCTGGCTGTATTTCAAGGAATCCCTGTTGAGGTTACAGGGACAAACCATCCCGATGAGTCGAAAGAATAGTAAATATGGCAGGCGACCAGCTTGGCTTAATGGTGAAATCTTAGCGGATCTTAAACATAAAAAAGAAGCTTACAAGAAGTGGAAGGTTGGACATATGACCAGGGAAGAGTATAAAAATATTGCTCGGGCATGTAGGAATGTTATCAGGAGGGCCAAATCGCACCTGGAGCTGCAGCTAGCCAGAGATGTCAAGAGTAACAAGAAGGGTTTCTTCAGGTATGTTGGCAAGAAGAAGAAAGCCAAGGAATGTGTGGGCCCCTTACTGAATGAGGGAGGCAAACTAGTGACAGAGGATGTGGAAAAAGCTAATGTACTCAATGCTTTTTTTGCCTCTGTTTTCACTAACAAGGTCAGCTCCCAGACTGCTACGCTGGGCATCACAAAATGGGGAAGAGATGGACAGCCCTCTGTGGAGATAGAGGTGGTTAGGGACTATTTAGAAAAGCTGGACGTGCACAAGTCCATGGGGCCGGACGAGTTGCATCCGAGAGTGCTGAAGGAACTGGCGGCTGTGATTGCAGAGCCATTGGCCATTATCTTTGAAAACTCGTGGCGAACCGGGGAAGTCCCGGATGACTGGAAAAAGGCTAATGTAGTGCCAATCTTTAAAAAAGGGAAGAAGGAGGATCCTGGGAACTACAGGCCAGTCAGCCTCACTTCAGTCCCTGGAAAAATCATGGAGCAGGTCCTCAAAGAATCAATCCTGAAGCACTTGCATGAGAGGAAAGTGATCAGGAACAGTCAGCATGGATTCACCAAGGGAAGGTCATGTCTGACTAATCTAATCGCCTTCTATGATGAGATTACTGGTTCTGTGGATGAAGGGAAAGCAGTGGATGTATTGTTTCTTGACTTTAGCAAAGCTTTTGACACAGTCTCCCACAGTATTCTTGTCAGCAAGTTAAGGAAGTATGGGCTGGATGAATGCACTACAAGGTGGGTAGAAAGCTGGCTAGATTGTCGGGCTCAACGGGTAGTTATCAATGGCTCCATGTCTAGTTGGCAGCCGGTATCAAGTGGAGTGCCCCAAGGGTCGGTCCTGGGGCCGGTTTTGTTCAATATCTTCATAAATGATCTGGAGGATGGTGTGGATTGCACTCTCAGCAAATTTGCGGATGATACTAAACTGGGAGGAGTGGTAGATACGCTGGAGGGGAGGGATAGGATACAGAAGGACCTAGACAAATTGGAGGATTGGGCCAAAAGAAATCTGATGAGGTTCAATAAGGATAAGTGCAGGGTCCTGCACTTAGGACGGAAAAACCCAATGCACAGCTACAGACTAGGGACCGAATGGCTAGGCAGCAGTTCTGCGGAAAAGGACCTAGGGGTGACAGTGGACGAGAAGCTGGATATGAGTCAGCAGTGTGCCCTTGTTGCCAAGAAGGCCAATGGCATTTTGGGATGTATAAGTAGGGGCATAGCGAGCAGATCGAGGGACGTGATCGTCCCCCTCTATTCGACACTGGTGAGGCCTCATCTGGAGTACTGTGTCCAGTTTTGGGCCCCACACTTCAAGAAGGATGTGGATAAATTGGAGAGAGTCCAGCGAAGGGCAACAAAAATGATTAGGGGTCTGGAACACATGACTTATGAGGAGAGGCTGAGGGAGCTGGGATTGTTTAGCCTGCAGAAGAGAAGAATGAGGGGGGATTTGATAGCTGCTTTCAACTACCTGAAAGGGGGTTCCAAAGAGGATGGCTCTAGACTGTTCTCAATGGTATCAGATGACAGAACGAGGAGTAATGGTCTCAAGCTGCAGTGGGGGAGGTTTAGATTGGATATTAGGAAAAACTTTTTCACTAAGAGGGTGGTGAAACACTGGAATGCGTTACCTAGGGAGGTGGTAGAATCTCCTTCCTTAGAGGTTTTTAAGGTCAGGCTTGACAAAGCCCTGGCTGGGATGATTTAACTGGGAATTGGTCCTGCTTCGAGCAGGGGGTTGGACTAGATGACCTTCTGGGGTCCCTTCCAACCCTTATATTCTATGATTCTATGTGTAGGTAGTCCTCAATCAGAACCCAGATTCTGCTTTGCTAGTATTTTTTAAACACAATTTTGGGCTGTATACATAAAGGCAACATATGATAGACCCAGGGCAGATAGTCCCTTTCACATGCAATTCTGGTATAATAATGTGTTCAGTTCTCCATATCATGTTAATAGAAAGATATTGATAAATTGGAGGGACTTCACAGAAGAGCAATTCAGATAACCAGGGGACTCCTTCACTGATGTTGAAACATTAAAAGACCTAAATATGTCTAGCTTGACCAAGCAGTAGCTAAGAGGGAGACACACAGCAGTAATTGCCCATGAGTAAGTAAAGATGGGCTAGTCTCTATGAGAAAGTTGAACCAGCTGTAGGCAGTGTCTACATGATGAGCACCAGAGCTATAGTGGCACAGGGCACACACTTTCTGCACTGATGGAAGGGTTTCTTCGTCAGTGTAGTTAATCCACCTCCCACGCAGCAGTTGCTAAGTCAACAGAAGAATTTGCATCTACACTGAGGATTAGGTCAATTTAACTATAGTGCTGAGCGGTGTGAATTTCCACTCCCCTGAGCAACATACTAGGTGATCTAAATTTTAAGTTTCAGAGTGGTAGCCGTGTTAGTCTGAATTTTAAGTGTAGATCAGAGTGTAGTTAATGTGGGACTTTAAAGAGATTTAGTTAAACTGGTGCAAAAGGCTATGTGGACACACTTCGGATTAAAACAGATGTCATTCATAGTCAATTAGCAATACTTTTAAAGTAAACTGAACTAAGTCATTATTAAACCAAAATAAACGTGTCCACAGGAGTTTGCACCAGTTTAAATGAATCAGTTTAAAAAACAATTTTATATTAAAAGTATGCAATTTCTGCATGTAGACAAGGCCTTAGCAACGGATTACTAGGAAAACCTTCCCGCCCGTGAGTTCTACCAAGCAGTCTCCCCAAGAGGAGAGCTGTGAGTCCCATCAAGTGAGGCAATTACAATGGACAGGACACCGCATTAGGACATGTGTGACAGGGAACAACTCTGCACTGGTCCCTTCTGTTGGTGGCCAGCATGGGACCATCGGGTCTTTCCATCCTAAATTCCCATGAGATCTGCACCTCTGTGCCCTCCTCAGTTGCTTTCTCGGTGTTGAAGGCCAAGTCTTGTGCTAAGAGTTGCTCAAGTAAAGTCAAATAAAGTCACCTTCAAGTCCAAAGATTTTACTACGGTGTTGGAGCAAAGTCCATTCAGCAGATGTCTGACCCCTGTGAAAGAAAAGAAGGTGATTTATATTTCACACAGGACTTCAACCCTCTTGTGGACCTGAACATGAGGTGTCAGTAAACACCTCTTGACCCTGGCACCCCCAGTCAAGGAGAGGTAGCAACAGGTAGAAACTATTTCATTGACAAGTAACTTGAGTGCTGTTGGAAAATGCCAACCTGACCTGGAGACCTCTCTTTACACACAGACCAGCTAGAGCCTGGGTAGAGGCTTCTCACAAGCCCCGCCAGTATGGTCACATCCTTGGTCTGGAGAACCCTCTTCTAGGAGTGAGGGGGGACTTCAGACTCTATGGCTTATTCAGCCCTTGGTCTCTGCTGATAGGGTGGTTTGTGTGATGTAGACGCTTCTCCTCTAGGATTTGGACAGAGATCTCACACAGCATTTGGCTGCTACTGACTTGGCCCACACTGAAACTAGTGATCTGTTCATTCCCTCCGGGGCACCTGGCATTGGCCACTGTTGGAAGACAGGATACTGGGCTAGATGGACCTTTGGTCTGACCCAGTATGGCCGCTCTTATGTATGCTCTTATGGAGAGGGTAAAGGCTCCAAGTCTCTTTTCCAGTCCCCTGAGCCGCCAGAAAGTAAATTCAGCATCTGCAGCTGCCAACAATTCCTCTTGCTGCTATAGGGCTAATTTCCAGCTTGGGTAGATGTACACTTGCTAGCTTTGATCAACTTAGCATACTAAAAATATTAGCAAAGCTGCAGCAGCACTGGTGGCAGCGCAGGATAGCTGCCCGAGTCCAGCCCTCTCAGAGAACTTAGGTATGAACTCAGGTGGCTAGTCCAAGCCGCTACCCATGTGGCCCCAATTACGGTGCTATTTTTAGCACACAAGCTCCATCAAACTTACCTCATGTATGTCTACGTGAGCTGGAAATTACACCACCAGCTGCAGTGTAAACATGCCGTATGAGTGGAAACGTATGACAGACAAGTCCTCCCAGGCAGAGGGAATGTGCTTCTGGCATATGCAGCAGGGCACCAAGGGAATCACCAAAGCACACAATCAGTTTCAAACAACCCTGTGGCCTCATTAGTCCAGCACAGCTAGAGTCACACCTCATGTTCCAAATGCAAACAGCTTCCTCCCACCACCCCCTAATCCTACCTCTTACTAACGTGCGCTCCTGAAGATCTCTGATCATGCTGTGCTCTACAGGGACAACGCAGTGGCAGAAACCCAGTTTTAGACTGTTAAGTGGTTGAGGCAGAGTATTCTCCGTGGTGAGTCCCCTTTCTGCAGAAACCAGAAAGCTGAGCCCAAGCCTGACTGTACAGATCTATATTTAAGACATACTTTTCCGATAAAGCCTTTGCCTAACATCAACACCCACAAAAATTAAAATCCCTGCATATGCATTCATACACCTTGCAATGAGGGATTGGAGAGTAAAAATATTGTTTGAGATTTGAAAGTTTCATCCTAATTGTGTTCAGCATGTCCACTTAACTTTCACTAAGCATGAAAGCAGTGCAAGGAGTTTCTGGGGCTCAGATCTTTTATTCACGCTCACAAAATAGTTTGTATGTGGTCCCAGTAAGCATCTCAGGCCCAGGTCCTGAACAGAACAAGACCCACCACCCACCTTGGCATCACTGGTTGAAACATATGAAGGAGTTTTGCTTTTGTGATAAGATTAGTTAAATAAGAATATATATCAGCTTTCAAAGCTCAAACAACTTGGTGAGGTAAAAAAGTAAAAAATGCAAACAGAACGTGTGGGTTCATCTGGGCTTAGACAATATTCTCTCGGAGACAGATTAGTTCATAGGAGTAAATGTAAGGCCAGGAGATTCAAACATACAAATTCCTATTAGCAAGAATCCTGGATCTAATTCCCTGTGCGTGGGGCTGCAGTTTTGCCCACAAGCACACATTTATTCACTCTTCAAAGCAACTCCCTTAAGATTAAGAATTTGACTTTCAGTGTGAGCCTGACTCCCAGATCTCATGGTTCAGAGGCATAGCACACATGCAAGTCTCTCAGTGTGGGCAAAGAGAGTCCCACCTTCTTCATTCAGCATGCAGTCACTCAGCATGATCTCCGTAAACAGGATCTCGTCCTGTAAAAGCTTCCCTAGAACTCTGCATGTGTCCACAGAAAGACTCTGGGTGGCAAAATCCAAGCGGCTTTGTCCTGGCCCCTCCCGGAGCTCATGTAGCTGCTGTAGGACTGTCTCCTGTGGCTGAGCACCACTCTCCTTACATAACTGAACATAGGCCTTTCGGAACTCTTCCATTGCCACAGCAGGTGCTAATGTCACTCCCTTCCTGTCCTCTGCATGACGAAGGACCAAGCTGGCCTCAGAGAAGAGCAGGGAATGCAGGAAAACCTGGTGGACAGGAAAGGCTTTACTGTGAAAGGCAAGAAGCAGTTATCTCTGGACTATCGTGCATGGTTCTAAGGTCTCTCATAAGCAGGACTGATACAAATAGTGCTCAGAGCCAGAACCAGAGCCATCCCCACCCTATAAACACCCACTTGGAGCCTTGCAAGACACCAGTCCCAACTCCACCCTCCCAGGATAGGGAGAAACTCACTACAGCCTCTTCTCATATACCCGTTGACTGTTACTGGGATACAGCCCCAACCCCTTACAACAGCCACCCCCTACACCCTGTAACTAGGAAGAGTAGAGCATGCTGGGGATTGTAGTTCTGCTCTTCCCCTCTTTTTCCCCCTCCCTCCCTGCCCCAGTAACCAGGGGAGGAGGGCATGCTGGGAGATACAGTACAGAGCCAAATTTAGAATGTTACATGGTGCAGCCCCATCTCAGTAGAGATATTGTCTCCTGCTGCAGAGGCCCCACTGCTCCTCCCATAACATCAGTGTATGGCCAACCTCAAAAGATCAAAAATCATGACACAGACTAAAAAATAATTTTTTAAATCTTTTGATTTAACTCCTTGCAACTCCTCTCCAGTGTGTAAGTGAGAATTTCAAGTTGAAAAGTCAATGCTTAATTGTACACAAAAATGCTCACCTCTCCCAGGTTGCTCTGATGTAGAGGCCCCTTGCCCTTTCTTCACCCTTAAGACTAGGTAACTCCCCAGTCCCCACTGCATATTATTCTTGATTGTCCCCAGACTCATTTCCTACCTTCCCCCTACATTTCCCTTTTCAGCCTTCCTCCCTCCTCTGCCCCCTCTCATATTTTCCTGCCATCCTGCTGTAACCTCACCTTCAGACACAAAAAATCATTGTTATTTTAGAATACACTGTACAAGGACTATAAAATGGAACCGAACAAAGGCCACCGAAGAAAAACAGAGCATTCTCCCTATGGATCAGGTTTTCAAATGATTTTTCAGTGAAGATTTATGTGAACTGCAACGCATGTCTTTACATCAACCACCTTGCTAATTGTTGGAAAACGATCACCCAAGCAGAGCTTTCTACATCTCAGTACAGTGTTTATATTTTCAATCTTAAATATTATTTTTAAATAACTAATTCATTCACATTCAAAGCATATAAACAATAATTTTAAATAGTTTTCTTTGTATAATTTTAACTACAGAAATGTTATCCAGTGATTACAATAAATTATTTACTTTTAAAATCTCATAATTGTCCAAATAGCTACAAATAATATATTTTTATTTTAATTACTCTTCCCTCTCACTGCACCAGGACTTCTCTGCTGGGGACCCAGAAGCACTTCCCCCAACTATCCCCACCCCACCTCCTGCTGCCTCAGGAAGTGCAGCTGCTGGTCCCAGGCAAAGCAGTACTGAAGGGGCGGAGGAGGAGTCAGAGAACAGCTCTGTCTGGGGCAAAGGAGAAGACCACTGCCCCAGAAGCTCTGTTGCAGGCTCCAGGACCCTGCTTGAGCCAGGCAGCAGCTGTTCCCCAGCTCCTCCCTCTCACTACCCCAGGACCCAGTCCTCATCTGTAGGGCCAATCCATACAGGAAGGAAGGGCTCAGTGGCAAGGTACATCTGTGTCATCTTTCACAGAGCTCTGGCTGTTTTTTCAGCCCTGAAAAATCAAGGGAATGGAGAGGCTTCTTACTCCATTAGTAGAGTTCCTCCTGCAAGGACCACAGTCCTGTGATTCACAATTAATTTGCAAGAGTTAGCAATAGTGTTATATTCATGTGGCAACCACAGCAATTGCTCATATGGTGAAGCCCCAGCAAGAAAAAATTTATGTATTATTAACTCTGACACAATACATGTTTTGGTCTTTGGCAGGAAGTTAGTTGCCCTGTCTCTTTTAGCTCTTATTTCACCTCCCCGTGCAGCTGTTCCAATTGCTCAGCTAGAAACATAAAGAACCAGTGCCAAGTGACCAGGAACCACAGCTTGGGAACTTCTGATGCTGAGCATCCATCAAGCCTTAGCCTGCAAATCTCACACAGGAGCAGAACAGCCACAAACCCCAAAGCAAGGCAGGTGCTTAGCAAAACCCCAAGAAAGATGAACCCAACAAAGCCTATCACCACAGCACCACACATGCCCAACACCTACCTTCTGGACTCTTCAGGACAGTGATTTCCTGGAAGCTAACTATCCTGATATCCAGATACACAGGGCTTGAACTGAGCCAACCCTCTCCCAAGACGCCATCTTTACTCTGCAGAGTGTCTGCTTTTTTTTTTTTTTTTTTTTTTTTAATTCTGTCAAACGTGAACGGAGCGTAAACTGATGCAGCAACAGCTGCCTCAGGCCTGGTCTACACACACAGATTTCGTACCATTTTAATGATGTAGATTGGGGGCGGCGGGCGGCATTTTTTCTTTACTGAAATAGTTAAACGGGTGAAACCCCTAATGTGGCTGTCGCCTCACTGTTATAAAAGTACCTAATGCTCGGACAGTGTATTCCCCTCCACATACGGGAGCACAGCACACCGGCCTCAGGCCCTGCACGCCGCCGCTGCCAGGGCAGCCGCCCGAAGGGCGCCGTATCCCGGTAACGGCACTGGCAGAATTAAAGCGGTGTCGCTTGAGTGCGTGTGGACGAGGCCTGCCGCGGTTGGCAGAGAGCCGGACACCGCAGCTCTGAGGGGCGTTAACGGTCCCTGTCCACCTCCGAGGCGCGGCCTGAGTTCCCGCCCGCCCGCCCGCGACGCCGCTGCTGCGGTCACTGCTCTGCACGGCGGGGGAGGGGCCCGGGTGCCGCCAGGCCACAAACAGACCGGGGGAGGGGCCGCCCGGCCCGCAAACGCCTTCCCGCGCCAGCCTCGCGCTCCCCGCCCCGGCGCGGCTACCGACCTCGGGCTCTTTCCGGGTGTCCCGTGGGCGGGGCTTATCCTGTGGGCGGGGCTAAGAGGCGCCCGCTGACGGCTTCGTCCCGCGCGTGGAAACGGCCTCCCCCATTGGCCCCCGTTCCCGCCCTGCGGCCCCGCCCGACGGCCCAGGGCGAGGCAGCGCGAACCACGGCTCCCAGCATGCACCGCAGATGGGACGGAGCCCGGAAACACCCGCGACTCACGTCCGGGGGCGGGTTCCGCCGCGGGACTACAGCTCCCATGATGCCGCGCGCAGTAGGCGGCCCGCCCCCCCACGGGGTCGCTGCAGGATGGAGAAGCGGGCAGAGAGCGCGAGCGGCTTCAGGAAGGTGCGCGGGGCGGGGCGGCGCGGCGCGGCGCGGTGCGGCGGCCGCCCCGGGCTGTACCAGGTGCCCCGCGCTAACCAGCGGCCCGGGCCGGCGCTCTCGGGTCCAGCCTGGAGCGCGCCGCCGCCCGCCCCCTGTGGCGCAGCGGGCACGCGCTCTGTGAGCTGGCGCGCGCTTCCCGCGCTGTGCGGCAGGGGCCACCCCGCCCCGCCTCAAACCCCGCGCGGGCGGGCGCTGCCGTGGGAGGCTCCGTCTCCTCGTCCCCGGGAGCCCCGTCCCGCCTCCGCCCCGCTGCCGGCGACCCCCAGGCCCTCCCGCGCACGGTAGCGGCCGGTTTCCCCCCAACCGCCCCGCCCGTCCCTGCCGGGCTCGCGCTGCTCGACACCCGCCGGCTCTGGCACCAGGTGGGCACGGGCCGGAGTAGACGGTCAGCGCTTCTCTGGGGCCCCAGCCTGTGAACAGCAGCTCCAGATCCTCCACTTTCCGCCAGCTCCCACCCTGGCCCCCTTCACAAAGCCGTAGGCACGGCTGCGACTCTGAAACCTGAGGTCTCCTGCTTAGCCCTGTCCCCCCATCGTCGCCTCACAGAAGAGCCATTTCTGTTCTCCCTTCTGGTCAGTGGGCTGCTGTCCGCCCTGCCTTCATCTCACTCCCTTCGCTGCTCTCAGCAGCGATGCTCTATCGGCCAGTCAAGGCTGCTAGGTTGTGGCAGGCCTGGTAGGCTAGCACTAGGCCCGTGAGCTCTAGGTGTGGCTTCTTGTGCTGCACTGTGTAGTTTTGTTTTGACCTACCCACTGACTTTTCACTGGTGGTGATAGTCCTCCCTCCTTGTGGCTTCTGCAGGTCCTTCCTTCCTGCTGTCTTTGATCAATTCATTTCTGAGTTCAATCTTGTTTAATGTGTCTGTGCAGATGATATGCAAATCTCTTTCCCTGCCTCAACCTCATCAACTTCTTGCACCCCTTTAACTTTCTGTGCCAAAAACTGGTCATCAGATAGGATGCCCTACACCCAGAGTTATTGCCTAAGGTTTGGTGCCTGGTGTGTTCAGTCCTGGCCTGGTCTCCCAAAAGCAATCTGACAGAGCAGGGATCGTTTGAGGGAGATGGATAACTACAGCCTAGCCAAAACTTAGACTTTACAACAACTTTTAAGATTTACCTTAAACCTAACTGAAAAGATTGCATGGGAATTTCTAAATCCCCTGTAGTAGGTGCAAACCAACCATGGTAGCACTGAGAATCTGACATTGACTTAACTGACTCACAATGAAGAATAATGCAGAACTGTTTCCATGAAAGTAGCCTAAGGTGCAGATAAAGGGGAAAAGTGTTTAAGATTTTTATCAAGATGAAACCTCACAGATAGAAACCACAGCTTTGTGTCATTGGAAGCTGAGAATGGCAGATTTCAGAGACATGAAGCATTCATGTCGATTTAAGTTTTTACATCTTGCTGCCTGTTAGGAATAGGTTTCAGAGTAGCAGCCATGTTAATCTGTATTCGCAAAAAGAAAAGGAGTACTTGTGGCACCTTAGAAACTAACAAATTTATTTGAGCATAAGCTTTCGTGAGCTACAGCTCACTTCCACTGCATGCATCTGATGAAGTGAGCTGTAGCTCACGAAAGCTTATGCTCAAATTTGTTAGTCTCTAAGGTGCCACAAGTACTCCTTTTCTTTCTGTTAGGAATAGAAACACTTGAGGAGATGTGTGTGTAAGCAAATGTTTCCAACCACTGATTCTCATGTGCTGATCAGAAAAGGAAAGTCCTTCTCTCCAAAAACATAATGTGCAGAAATAAGGGATTTAAATATCTATCTATTTGTATTGTGGTAGCACCTAGAAGCCTAGACAAGGCCTGGGTCCTATCTGCTTGGTACTGTACAGATGCTTAGTGAGAGACAATCCCTTTTACACTTGAGCTTGCAACCTAAGTAGTAAACAAGACAAAGGGGTGGGAAGAAAAACACAGATAGAGACAAGTACTGCCTTAGAAGTGGCTGGGGGATTTCCTCCAATTGTGGGATAGGGGAGGACAGGACTGTTTATACAGTTTATGGCCAGGAAAGGCAGGAAAAGGAGCTTAATTTGTTTCTCACTCACCAGTTCTATATCATGTTCCCTTTTCATGCAGGAGACTGTGAACAAAATACTTCATCTCCACTTCAAAGATGACAAAACTCGAGGTACGTGCTTCTCCTGTACTCTCTCTGCAGAGAGCTAGATTCCTACTGAAAATTACCTAGCTGCCAATAGTACATAGTGTAGTTGTAGCTGTGTAGGGTGTTAGAGACACAAGGTGGGTGTGGTCATATCTTTTATTGGACCATCTTCTGTTGGTGAGAGAGACAAGATTTCAAGCCACACAGAGCTCTTCTGAAATTCAGGAATACCAGAGGTGACCAGGAAGCCACCCTGGCTCTGTGTTGGTTCTCGGTTTAAATGGGCAAACACTTGTTCCCTGGATGTACATGCTGTAGTGTTGGCAGTTTCTGCAAGGCAAACACTTGTTCCCTAGATGTACATGCTGTCTAAGGCAGAAGTTCTCCAACTGTGGTCTGCGAGCTCCATTCAGGTGGTCCGCGGATAGTTCCTTCTATAGTGACAGGTTTCAGAGTAACAGCTGTGTTAGTCTGTATTCGCAAAAAGAAAAGGAGTACTTGTGTGGCATCTTAGAGACTAGCCAATTTATTTGAGCATAAGCTTTCGTGAGCTACAGCTCACTTCATCGGATGCATCCGATGAAGTGAGCTGTAGGTCACGAAAGCTTATGCTCAAATAAATTGGCTAGTCTCTAAGATGCCACACAAGTACTCCTTTTCTTTTTCCTTCTATGGTGTGCACTTACGAGAAAATGAAGGGCTGCCCGCACTGGTGTGGCTCCACTAATTAGGTGCCTGGACCCTGGAGAAGATGCACATGTAAGGTGAGGTGGTGGCCTTGAGGAAAGAGGGAGTAGGGGGAATTTGGGCCGTGCAAGACTGCGGCGCCAGAGAAAGAGGTGATTTTCTCCAGCTTCAGGGTTGCGGCTGCTGGGGAGAGAATTCCCTCCTTCCCAGCCCAGCTTGGGGGCTGCTGTGGTGGGGGGAGAGATTACTGATATTAAAATGAGTTGCGTGCTTTTATTTGTAGAACAAACACACATTTATTATTTAGTTTTTTATATAACACTTTTATCCAAAGCGCTTTACAATAGTTAGCTAACAGTACAAACAACATTTGGAAAGAGCATTAAGTGGTCCACCGAGACCCTCAGCAATTTTCAGGTGGTCCGTGGGAGGAAAAAAAAGTTTGAGAACCACTGGTCGAAGGCACTAATCTGGCCCCCATTGCCATAGAATCTGAGCAACTTTAATATATTTATCCTCAAGGTAGGGAAGTGCTGTTAGGGAATTAAGACCCAGAGAGACTAAGGGCTTGTCTACATGGGAACACTTAGGAAAATTAAGACTGACTAATGAAAGGTGTGAATTTAAAGTGCATTAGTTAAACTGGATTAAAGCCATAGAACCTTAGGCTTGGAAGGGACCGCAAGAGGTCATCTAATCCAGTCCACTGAACTCACAGCAGGACTAATCTATTATCTAGACCATCCCTGACAGGTGTTTGTCAAACCTGCTCTTAAAAATCTCCAATGGTAGAGATTCCACATCCTGCCTGGACAGCTTATTCCTTGACAGTTGAGAATTTTTTCCTAATGTCCAACCTAAACTGCCCGTGCTGCAATTTAAACCCATTACTTCTTGTCCTGTCCTCCTTGTAACAATCTTTTATGTACTTGAAAACTGTTATGTCCTTCTGTCTTCTCTTCTCTAGACTAAAGAAACCCAATTTTTTTCAATCTTCCCTCACAGGTTATATTTTCTAGACCTTTAATCAATTTTATTGCTCTTCTTTGGACTTTGTCTATATTTTCCAGAACTGGACACAATACTCCAGTTGAGGCCTAATCTGCGCAGAGTAAAATGGAAGAATTACTTCTCGTGTCTTGTTTACAGCACTCCTGCTAATACATCCTAGAATAATGTTTGCTTTTTTTGCAACAGTATTACACTGTTGACTCATGTTTAGCTTGTGATCCACTATGACAAGCTCTTTCTGCAGTACTCCTTCCTAGGCAGTCATTTTCCATTTTGTATGTATGCAACTGATTGTTCCTTCCTAAGTGGAGTACTTTGCATTTTTTCTTATTGAATTTCATCCTATTTTCTTCAGACCATTTCTCCAGTTTGTCCAGATCATTTTGAATTTTAATCCTGTCCTCCAAAGCACTTGCAACCCCTCCCAGCTTGCTATTGTCCACAAACTTTATAAGTGTTCTCTATGCCATTATCTAAATAATTTGATGAAGATATTGAACAGAACTGGACCCAGAACTGATCCCTGCGGGACCCCACTCAATATGCCCATCCAGCTTGACTGTGAACCACACATAACTACTCTGGGAATGGTTTTCCAAACCATTGTCTTTCTCACCAACAGAAGATGGCACCAACCTTATAGTAGCTCCATCTAGGTTGTATTTCCCTAGTTTGTTTATGAGAAAGTCATATGAGACAGTATCAAAGCCATAGGTATTAAAGTAAAGATATACCACATCTACCACTCCCCCTCCCCCATCCACAAAGTTTGTTACCCATCAACGAAA